TTGGAATTCTAATATGTAAATGTAACGGATTGAATATATAGAGTTTTATTAAAAATTTATATTTTTAGAATCAGAATATATATTTAATAGAAATATAATTGTTTATAATTAATTATTTTATTTTTTCATTTTTTATTTTAGAAAATCAAGAACAATCAACTTGTACGTCAATTAATGGGAAAATCGGTAGATGCGTCATAATACATCAGTGTCCAGAATTATTGAACGTACTTCAAACACGCCCCCTTAAATCAGAAACTATAAATTTACTAAGGCAATTGCAATGCGGTTTCAATGGTAATAATCCCATAGTCTGTTGTTCGATTCAAAATACAAATATCGATACAATATATCGAGACGATAATGGAGATGTTACAAATTCGAATCAAAGTTCTAATGAGCAAAATATCGACGATATGAATTTACAATATGATTTTTCCAATAATTCTTTGATTCCAACCGATTGTGGCAAAGATTTGTCTCAAAGAATCATAGGAGGAGAAATTACAGAGCTCGATGAATTTCCTTGGATGGTACTTCTGGAACACGCCAAACGTAAGTTCTTTTTTTTTCCTCTAAAAAATATAAAATATTCATCGTTTCGTTGAAAATTTACAATAGAAAGTAAGTATTAACATTTAAAATTGCTTTTCAGCGAATGGAAAAGTTACAATTTGTGGTGGAGTTCTTATCAGTCGGCGTTACGTTTTAACGGCAGCGCATTGCATCAAGGGGAAAGATTTACCAATTACATGGCGTCTGGAGAGCGTTCGCCTAGGCGAATATAACACCGATACAAATCCTGATTGTGTTCAGGACGATGAAAATACGTTAATTTGCGCGGACGAACCTATATCGGTTGGGGTCGAAGAACAAATTGTACACGAAAATTATCGACCTCGTTCAAGAGATCAGAAATACGATATCGCACTTTTAAGATTATCCCGTGATGTTATTTTCACCAGCTACATAAAACCTATTTGTTTACCATCCACTGCTTCTCTTGGACAAAAACTATTCGTTGCTGGGTGGGGAAAGACGGAAAACGGTTCATCGTCGAACGTGAAATTAAAAGTTCTTTGCCTTTTGTCGATAAACAACAATGTCAATCGACTTACGGTAATGTACAAGTATCGCTCGGTTACGGGCAAATTTGTGTCGGGGGACAAAAGGGTAAAGATTCGTGTAAAGGAGATTCGGGTGGGCCTTTAATGACCGTGGAGAGAGAGCGTAATGGTAATGGAAGATGGACTGTCGCAGGTATAGTTTCTTTTGGGCCATTGCCTTGCGGTATGTTTGGATGGCCTGGCGTTTATACAAGAACAATTGATTTCGTACCGTGGATACTTAGTAAAATGAGACCTTAATCTTTTGTATTCAAATTTCTCCAAATCTTCCCATTTATCTTCTTTATACGCATTTGTTCAGAACAAACGGAAGAATAAATTTTTCCATATTTTTTTTTTCCAATGTTATACGAATAGTTAATGACGTATATTGATGACTTATTAATGACTTTATCATTTTTATCATTTTTAAAGGTTATCTATTGCATAGGTCATAGAAAACATCATGTAAAATACGCGTGATGCAATTATATATATTTGCAAATAAAAATTTTTCATTATTTAAAATTAATTCATTTTCGAAATTGATTCTGTGAAAATCAATTTCTTGAAAAAATTATCCATTTACAGCGAAATTGACGTAAATCTATGTTGAAATTGGAAATTCCAATTAAAAAAATTGTTTTAATTAAATTTTAATTCGTAAAAAGAAAATTACAAGATTGTTTAGAATTAGAGATAAATATTTTATAAATGTAAAAAACACTTGATATAAAATAATAAAAGAATATTCAGTTTGACGCTTTTCTCGCTTATCGAATAAGTATATCTTTTATTTTTGCAGTATAACAACTTGTCCATTTAAAAAAAAATGAATCGGTTTTAAAATGAAACAAGCATCGTCAATATAACAAATCAACGAATTAACAATTTTCCTCGTAACCCCTTCTCTCTCAACTTCTTTTTCCAAGTGAAGGTTAGCAGACTCGCTCGGTACATGATAGCGGTCAGTTGAGCGAAGACTCTCACACGAGTCTCTTCGTGCTCCACGAAAGTGACAAGTAACAATTTTGCAAAACCAGTTTGACTGTTTCATTGTTAATTTAAAAAAAAAGTATAAATTATAAAATTATAAATCTTGTTATTCGAGTTATCATAATCTTTCTTCCAGCAAAAGAAGTTAATTAAAAAAAAATTTGTAAATTTGTGAATATCGTTAAAAAAGAACGAAGAATACGATATCATCTTTCAAAATTATTTTAAGAGAGAGAAAAAAAAGCAACAACTTGGAAATCGATATGATTAATCGTTTATGTTTAATCATGTTTGTGATTTTATACGGAGTCGGTGCACGTAAGTAAAATTTCATTAATAATATAACAATAATTTTCTTCGTTCGATTATTAATTATTATCGGATAAAAATTGACGATTAATATTAGACATTGAATTTTCTATCTACGAATAATTCAATGTCATCTTCTTATTCCTTAATACCGTTCCTATTCATTGTCCTATTTTTATTAGTATCTTTTGCTATTTGTCATACATATAAGCGTAGAAATAACAAATTTAATACAATAGAATCATGTCACATTATCCGAACAATACAAATTTATCACTAAGAAAATTGTTATTTTTCCTTTTTGTCAAGTAAAAAAATAATATCAATAAACAAAGTTACTGCAGAAAATGTAGCACTATTAGAAAAAAAAAATTTTGTTCAATTTATGGATACCAATTTTCTAATATACGCAGTACGTTATATATTATTATTTCATTCTTGATTATGATCAGCATTTTATACAATAATTGAATGGGCTTACGAGAGACACTTCAATACTGAATACTAACGATACGTGACATTTCTCCTTTCGTAGTATCAATAAGAGATCTACTTCGAACTTATTATTAGTTCGAGATAATTCGAATAATCTACTTCCGTAAACAAAAGATTCTTTTTATAGAAGATAGATGTACCACACCACAGAAAAAAATCGGTGTTTGCATCGATATACGTGAATGTGAACCACTGGTAAAAATTCTTAAAAAAAGACCAATATCGGTGGAATCTATTAATTATTTAATCAGCTTTCATTGTGGATTCAATGGTAATTATTCAAAAGTATGTTGTGAAACACAGGTAAACATTTTTTTATAATTATTACATTCAACTTTAGTCAGATAAAAGGAAATATATAACAACAGAATATAACTAACTTAGAATCCAGTAATGATCGAAATAGATGAATCAAACTCGTCTGTAATTTCCAAACCTCCAAATGTCACAAATCATCCGAATTTATCATTATTGAATCATGATATATGCGGCCCAATAACGGAGCAAAAAATTTTCGGTGGTAATAAAACCGGTATATTTGACTATCCATGGATGGCGTTACTCTTTTACGACACAGGAAATTTAATTCCGGAATTTCGATGCGGGGGATCGTTAATTAATAAACGATACGTACTCACTGCTGCTCACTGCGTTACATCGTTACCATCTGGTAAGTGTGACTATGACATGAATCGATTTATTTAAATTTCTTCGATCCATAATATAATGTGTGATATTCACGTTGATCATGAATATTTTAGAGCTTAGATTAATAGGAGTTCGATTAGGAGAGCACGATTTTAGAACTGAACGCGATTGCGAGAAAGAAGCGGATGAATTTGAAGTTGTTTGCGCTGAAAAATATCAAGATTTCGGTATAGAGAAGACTCATTTTCATCCAGAATTTTCACGAGGGAAATTACAGAATGACATTGCTCTGGTACGATTGAACAACGACGCTGATTTTAGACCGCAAAATGTTCGACCGATTTGCATGCCAATCGGATCAGCCGCCATCTTATCTCAAAAAAAAGTAAATACAATAATCAAATATGGACGTATTCTCGAGTTATTTATTTTCGTCATAGAATCAGTTGATTTTCATGTTTAGGTAACAGTAACAGGTTGGGGTACAACTGAACTTGGATTACGTAGTCAAGAGTTGTTACAAGTTCATTTGTCACTAGTAAATACAGAGAAATGTGCACAGGTATATAATGAAAGGAAAACGCAAATTTGGTATAAACAAATATGCGCGGGTGGTAAAAATGGTATGGATTCTTGTTCGGGAGATAGCGGTGGACCACTTCAAGCCCCAGGAATGTATAATAATAATCTAAAATACATTCAATACGGACTTGTTAGTTTTGGACCCACTAAGTGCGGTCTAGAAGGAGTACCTGCAGTTTATACTAATCTTGTATATTACATGGATTGGATTTTAAATACTATTAGCGCATAAAAAAAGCATACTGTTAATTTAATTTTTTAATTATTTTGTAATTATTGTTAATATTGTTAATATATTATTTTTTAATTAGTGTTAATTATTAATTGTTATTTCAAATAAGATATCTGAAACAAAAATTATCCAAATATTTATTTATAATTAAAGTTCCTAAAATGAAAAATGAAAAAAGTCGATCATTTTCAATTATTTTTGACTATTAACTATCATTGTTATCACGAAATATGAATATCCCAGTCTTGTGTTTTCGAAAATTTGAATATATCCCAATTAATAATATACCATTTTTATTTAATTAATAATAGATTTTTAGAATTAAGAATTTATTAAGAAATAAGGATGTAAGATATTTTAAAGATATTTCAACAAATAAAATTAATTTAATATTGTTAATATTAAAGCTTTTTATTTATAAATCGTTTGCTACTATAAATATTACATTATGATCATATATGATTTATAGATATATTAATTACTTAATTACGTTGTATAATTTATATGATTTTAATTTTGTTAACAACGTTAAAATAAAATACTATAAATTATATGTTTATTTGAATACATACATATATATAAATTATATAATTTATATTAAATATATATAAATTAAAAACTATTCATATTATTAATTTAAAGTTCTTTGGATATCTTTTCGTTATCTCTTTACAATGAATTGTGATTAAGTAAATATTAATCAAATAATTATTTAATGAACATCAGTAATTATCTCTGTATTGTGTTCATTATGCAATGTATTTTTATCATCATCATTAGAAATTAAATATTCATTATTGCACAATTTTTTGCTTTCATTTTGATCTTCGATAAGCTCTGCAGTCTCCTTTATTGAAACTTTTAACTGGCTGCGATTAGCTTTCTTTTTTGAAAGTAAAGTTTGAGATTTACTTATCGATTTTTCAGAAATTTGTGATATAGATGTATTTGATGAATTTAAAGATTGATTTGATAAGGGACTATCCGAAGAATTAGTTAGAGATTCAGAATCTGATTTAGAAATATTTTCGTAATTTATATATGAATTCATAGTACTCAATTCTTTCTTCTTTTTTCTTTGTTGTGATATTTTTGAATTATTAACATTCTGTTGTGTCTGAGTCAATGATTGATAATTCTATAAAAAAGATTATTATTATATAATAATCATTTGTATTTATTGTTATTGATCTTTATTGTTTTATTTATCTTATAGTTTCAAAGAAATCAATTTTATTCACCTGAGAATGACGTTCGAAAAGAGTTGGTATTTGTGTTACACGATCCAACATCATTTCCATTTGTAATCGATGACGTTCCGCTTGTTCACGCGCTTCATCACGACGAAGCAAAGTTCGAATATTAAGATCTCTTTCGTGTTCGTGCCTTAGAATTGAAAATTTATATATAAATATATATAGTCGTTACAATATTAATACTTTTTATTTTTTTATTATTATATAACATACTATTGAAAAAATTTTGCAAGTACGATCTAATTTTTTAAAAATCGCACCTCACTGCGGATCTCAAAGCGCGCCATACTGGATTACGTCCAATCAAAGATTGTCTAATTTTTACAGCTTGTTCTCGCCGCCTCTCTTCCATTTTTTCCCTTATTTCACGTTCTAATTTTTCTCTGTAAACATAAATATTTTATAAATAAAAGATTGTAATTTTCTTTCATTACAATACGAATTTTAAAAATAAATGTTTATTGAAATTTTTTATAATCTTATAATACCGTGATACTTGACATCTTAAAATTGCTGCTAAATTATTTCCTCGTATAGGCAAAAGTGGCATCATAGATTTACATCTTTCTAATGGCATTGAATTATTATTTGACATTTGCGAAACATTTTTATTTTCAATATTTTTGTTAAAATCTTTAAATGTACTTTGTAAACGTGTGCACGCAGATTTGATTCGTTCTCGTCTCGCCATCGACGGAGGTAAAGATGATGATTTCATTAATTGCGCAGCTCTTAATCGTTTCTGTAATTGTCTGAAAATTGTAATGCACTATACAGTCGATTCAATAATAAATTAAAATTAAAAAATAATAAATTTATAAGTTATTATATTTATTTACCTGCCATATTCATCTTCAAGCATACGATCATATATTTCTGTACTAAAAAGATTTTTTGGTACTGGTTTAGCTTTAAATTTTGTACTCACATTAACATTTTTACTACGAATTTCTGGGCTGGATCTTGCTAAAAACCTCCAAGCTCGACGATCGCATTCGAGTTTAAAAGGACGTACTTGAGACATTAAATTTAAGGCACTTTCTTCACGAATTATACGACTTCTAAAAGATAAATATTTATAATAACTGTGAATTTATTATTATATATCAATGCAAATAAAAATTAAAATGTGAAAAATATAAACATAAGATATATAAAAGCAAACCGTTCTTCTTTCTCAGCCAATAATTTATCATAAAGTGGAATTTTTGACGTAAGTGGAATTGATCTTACACGTCGTTTTCTACATAAATTCTTTTTATTATTTCTCACATTTTTACATTTTTGTTCCTCCATTTTAATATGTTTCATATGCTTTTCTGCTTCCTCCCTAAAATATGTAATATATTATTATTTTATATCTAATATAAATAAATCAATTAATTTGTTTAAAAATAATAAAAAAATAAAAAAATATAATTTATTACCTTAAAGTAAAATTAAATGGCTTAGGTACAGTAGGATGCCATTCTTTTGCAATATTGGCTGGTAAGCTCCTTGTTTCTGCATTGTCTATATCACTTTCAATATTATCATTGGTATTTATCTTATTGTACGTATTCCAATTTTTATTATTCAAATATATTTTCTCCTTACATTCAGTTCCATTTTCCTTATCTCTTCTACTACATTTAAAAATGGTAACACAATTGCAGCCATAATTAGATAAAAGAAATTCACTTCTACCTAATCATATATACCTATTTGTTAAGAAATCCTGATCTTCTGAGATTTCATTTTCATTAAGTTTACTAGAAAGAAAAAGTAATGGACTGGGACTAGAAGATTCTTCTAAATAACACTTTTTACCATTCAATGTTAAATCATTAATATCATTTTTATTTTTGAACCTTAATTTTTGATTAGATACTGAAAATTTAGATTCATTTATATTTTCATGATCGACCAGAGAATTTTGTAAATTTTTTAATAATAATTTTTGTTCCTTTTTAAATAATCTACTTTTTGTTTAAACTGCTCATTTGATAAATGATAAACTTGACCATAATCTGGTATACTATCTAGAAATTCTAAAAAAATATCCATATCTTCTGTAGAATTTGATATCTTACATTCAGTAACAAAATGATCATTTTTTATAAAATTCATGCTATATTTATTATAAAGACCATTATCTTCTTTATTCTTTTTAGATTCAAGACGTTCATAAGAAGGAGTCGGTTGCCTATTACAAGGATTTATAGGAACTTTCACACAAGAATTGTAAAAAGATGTACCTTTATGTTCTGTCATTGCCTATTAGTAAATAAATTTTTATTATTATATCTTTTCAATGAAAATCTAAAAATTTTATATTTTTTTTTTTTAGCATTTTGTATAAAAAATATTTCAAGTTTATAATAATTTAAATTTAATAATAATTATAATTAAATCAAAGAAAAATACTCGTATTTTACACCAATATTTAAATAAAATATATCAATAGATTATAATATGTTATAAGATAAAATAGTTAAAATATTTTTTTTACAAAACACTTAAATTATTATATTATTCGTATAAACGAGTATCAATACTCACCTATAAATTTTACGATGAAATTTATAGTATATTAACAGATAGATATAAAAATTAGAAATAAAAAATAATTAATTTATTTTTATTATATGAAATTTGTCGTATATACATTTTTTGAAATTTAAATTTGATTCTCTATTTTACACTATCTTAATAACTAGAAATAAACATCTTTTAGAGATCAATATAACCTCGCTATATTCGTCACCATGGTGAATAAAATATTAATGTAAATTTTTTATAATAATTAAGAAATAGTAAAATTAGAAATACAAATATATAAACTAAAAAATATTTAAATAATTTATTTTATTTATAATTCGATTTCAATGAATTTATTTAAATATATTTAAATGTATACATTTAAAATATTTTATAATATTAAAAAAAATTGTTTTTCATGTAAATTTGATTGCAGATATTAAATGAATTAATTTTAATAAATTAATAAAATAAAAATAAATAAATTTATTACTATAATAAATATATTACTATAATTATAAAAAAACTTAAACTTTTAGATGTGTTTCCATAGAACGTTATAAAATTAATCCAAAGATTATTAAATAATCGTGAAATATAATTTAGATGAAAAGCAAACGACCGAAAGGAATTCTTAGTTTGCAAAGTATTTTGATATCTACTATTTTTCATAGATTGTAAATCGTATTTATTAATCATCAGAAATAATCCTGTATTTTCGCTATTAAATCGCATAATAGCAATTTTAAAATCAAACTTTTAAATAAAAAAAACTTTAAATAATTTAATTAAATTACTTGAATAATAAATTAATTTTGTATTATTAAGATTAAAAGAGGCATCGTCCATTATATTTAGCATAATTTTAATATAATTCTTTTTAAAATAATTTCAATTTGTATATCATGAGTGTATATAAACATTTAAGTATAAATTATATTGAATATAATAGAAAACAAAAATGGCGCTTTTTGGAAAAGCAATGACATATTGTGATGTATTAGCATTAACTTTAAAAAGATGTAAATATATTATTTCTAATGGATCAATGCTTACAGCAAAGCCTTTTTCTATCTCTACACAAAATAATGAAAATTATGATATTATTATAACTGGAGGTGGTATGGTTGGATCTACATTGGCATGTGCAATAGGTTAATTTTTTTTTTTTATTAAAAATTATATGTAAATTATATTTTAATTTATATATATATCTTTTTATATTTTGTAGCAAATAATAGAAAACTTGAATGTAAGAAGATTCTTTTATTAGAAAGTAATAAACAACATGAATATAAATCACAAGAAAAATATTCTAATCGTGTAGTTGCTTTAAATAAACAAACACGTTGTTTACTTTCAAGTATAGGAGCTTGGCAACATATTGAAGCAATACGTTATTCTACAGTACGAAAAATGCAGGTATTAAAATAATGAAAATAATAATAGATATTTTGAAAGATATATTTTAATGATATTTAATTTATTATATTTTTTGTAATAATATAATTACAATTAAATATGAAATTTATAGTAGGTTTGGGATGCATGTTCTGATGCTATGATCATATTTAATGAAGATTATTTGACTGAAGAAATTGCTTACATAGTTGAAAATGATTTATTATTACATGCTGTAAATAAACAATTGACAGACAAAGAAAATGTAAATATAATTTATAATTCTAAAGTTGAAAATATCAAATTACCTAAAACACAAGAAGAAAATGCAGTAATACAATTACAAGATGGAACGAAATATAAAAGTAAACTATTAGTAAGTAAAAAATATAATAATAAATGAATATTTCAAATATTATTTACTATGTACTAGAATTATTACAATCTTTAACAATGCTTTCAACTTTACTAATTAACTTATCCAAATGTGTACTAATATTGTAAAAACATCTTTGTAATTCATCTATTATTTCATTTAATTGTTGTTGATTATTGTCACTAGAAGTTGTACTATAAAGTCGATTTAATTTAGGAGTATCCATTTCTATATTATATATATTGTATATAGGCATCTTTTTTTTCATATTTCGATTTTTTTTTTCAATTACTAAACGATAGATAGCTTTCATTAATTCCTGCGGTAAACGTTTTTCTCGTGGATCATTAGGACGGATATGAATTGTACAATAATGTGGTGGATGTAACAAAAGTGCACCCTGTCTGCATGCTTTCATTATTGCATTTGGTGCATAATCTAACAATTTAGAAAATAGCATGTGTTCCAAATGTGCTACTAATTCTGCTCTACGTACTAATCTATCTAATCCAGCACATCTTCTCAATTCTTGTATATCTGATACTGCAAGACCCATCATCAAATTTGCTAAAATTACTGTTACTAAAATGACAAAACTTAAGAACATTAAGTGTGCAGTGCCAGAATATAAAATTGGTGATTTTGAACTAAAAAATATGTCCTCAAATTCCAATTCTCCAGACATCATTACAATAGTTTTTAATAGAGCAATTAATGGATTATTAAATGAATCATAATTTTTATGTAATACACTGAAGCCTAGGGAAAATCCTATTATAAGACATATGTAAGCACCTAAAAATTTAAAAAAATTAATTGATACTTGAGTAAACATTTGTATATAAAGGCCAAAAATTGGAAATCTTCCAATCACTGTCATTAATTCTATCCAAATTAATAAAACATCCAAAGCAGCTACATGATATTGCCACTCATGTATTGGAATAATTAATACAATACTTGATAGTAATACAACACTCCATTGAAGCCAATTTTCCCATCTTTTAATATAACTGTATATACCATGAACCATTTGAAAAAATTCTTTACTAGCTAATGTTACAGTAAATATTAATACTAACCAAAAAAATAGTTTTCTAAATTTTTCAGTATTTTCAATATTACTCAAATATGTAATTGCTATATAAGCAGTAAGAAAAGCAACAAATATAGAATGAAATATTAAATTTAATAAAAAAAATTTACGGATTCTTAACCATTTTAAATAAAGAAAGCTTTCACACAAAGGATGTTTCAATACATGTCTTTGTCCAACTTCCACAAGACACAGCATCAAATCAGTTTCTCCTCTACCACCTGATACCAATGGTCTAAAATCTAATTTCAATTCACAATCAACATCACCTAATTCATGATCATGCAAAGAAATTGCTTGATCTAAGCGAGAAATAAATCGAGGCAATACATCTGGTGTTCTACGTACAATAAAACTTAATGCAGAGATACCACCTTTTGTTCTAGCAGTAACATCTGCTCCTTTTGATAATAACATTATTACTATTGATGAACTTTCATTTAATGCTGCAATGTGTAAAGGTGTGTAACCAAATTTGTCTGCTTTATTGATTAAAGCACCAGCCTGTTAAAATAAAAAGATTTATAAATTTACATATAACATACACATAAAATAATTTTGTCATTTTTTTAAAAATAAATAAACCTGAAGTAACATTTTCACTAAATCTATTCCTCTAGTAGTTTTTGCAACTGCAGCATGTAATGGAGTACGATCATCATTATCTTCAATATTAACATTAGCACCAATATTTATAAGTACTTCTAAAGTTTCCATGGATTGAGATAAAACTGCTAAGTGCATTGGTGTTTGTCCTCTTGCATTTTTTGCTTCATATGTTGCACCAGCATCTAATAACAACTTTGTACACTCAACATTACCTTCTTCAGCTGCTAAATGTAATGGAGTAGATCTCATAGAACCAAATTGAACTCTTACATCTGCTCCATAATTTAATAATAATTTTGTGCATGCAATAGAACCTAAACCAGCTGCTACATGCAACGGTGTTTCTGTATAAACCTATTTAATTACCAAATTGAAATGAAAAATATAATAATTAAAAATATTATAATATTTATAAATATAAACCTGTGGATTATTAGGAGAGGCACCTGCTTCTAATAAAGCTTTGACACAATCTACTGCATTACTTAAAACAGCATAATAAAGAGGACTTTTTCCATACATTCCAGCATTTACATCTGTTCCTGATTTTATTAAACATTTAACACAAGCAAGATCTCCAGTAGCTGCAGCACAATGTAAAGGTGTATATTTTTTACTAAAATCCCATTCACATGGATTTGCTCCATGTTGTAATAATTTTTCTAAAATTATTAATGAAGCTGTACATGCAGCCAAATGTAATGGTGTCCTATAAAATTAATGAATTGTTAGTTTAGAATTAAATTTTTTTATTATCTATCATACCTGCCATCACTATCTCTAGCTGAAACTTTTGCATTTTTAGTCAATAAAGCTTTGACTACATCTATATGACCTAAGTAACAAGAAACTAAAAGACAAGTGCTTGGCCATCTTAAAAAAAGTTCTGGAACAGTTGTATTTATAGCTGCTTCATTTTCAATATCTAATAAATTATTTTGTATGCGTCTATATTAAATACAATACATATGAAAATTGAATTATATTTAATATAATTTCTATAATTATGAATAAATAATTATTTTACCTATTTACAAATAAAGATATGGTAGATTTGTGAATATCTTCTGTGATATTTCTATAATCAATGTTCAGATATTCATCTAAAGCTTTATTCAAACTATCTCCATGAAGAGTAGAAATAACAGAAAGTGCTTGCTTTCCTGCTGGAAGATTAGATAGGGCCAAAATAATTTCCTCTATATTCCATGGTTGTTGATTTATTATTTGTCTTTCTTTTATATCACATATGATAGGTTCAGAACTATACTCAGAACTTATACTGCTTTTTTCCATATCATTCATCCAAATATCTTCACAATTCTTCTAAAATTATTGATAATTAACAAATAATATTTAAATTTGTTTATCATTCACTTACTGTATAATTAGCAATAGAAGGTGATGATATAACATTTGATTCTTCTTGAGAATTATGATTACTCAGAAATCTATTTAGAAGTGGTTTCTTTTTTAAAATCGACATGCTATCTTGATTTTTTCTTATTTAATAATTTAATATAAGATTAATAATTAATAATTTAATAAAATAATTAATTTATTTTGTTTTATTTTATTAAATATAAAAAAATTGCAACTAATTATTCACAAATTATATAATATATATTATTTTTAATTTAAAATATTTAAAAACTACATTTTCAATTATCAATATGGTTCAAATCAGATCTTGATGTTTATAAAATAGACATATATTTAGCTCTGACTACTTCTATATATATGCACACACAAGAAAAAAGAAAATTCTAGATTTAAAAATTTTTTTTTCTTTTTATAAATATAAAAAATAAAATAAAATTTATT